TATAAGAGATTCCCACTAGAAAATAGTTCAAATACAATAAATAAATAGAGTATTTAGAAAAAATTAACACATTTGTTATAAATAATCAATTTAAACTAATTTTTTTAATATTTTCAAAGCTTTTATATTAATAATTAGATATTGAGTGTGTACAATAGAATAAATAGAAAGCAGCATTCTCTCTGCTCTAGAGGACAAGTCATTTTTATGAATTTTTTAGTCAGTAATATAAATCACTTAGCAAATAATTAATATTTATTTGTTAATTTTGTTCTCGTAATTAATGCTTAAAATTTAAATATAATTTTTTTTATTTTTCTTTATTTCCTTTTCCTTTACAATCTCATTTAATCTAGATGAGATTAGGGGAAAAAATAATTTGAGATGAATTTAATAAGTTAACTATTATTCTTAGGAAATAAAAATCACTAACATGAGATTTTCTCGTTTATGAATGTGTTGGCTATCAATAAATAATTGAGTGAGTTTCTAGGACGAGTACAAGTTGAATACTTATATTTATTTGACTTAGTCGCCCTTTTGTCTCCTCAGATAAATGGTGTAATTTACTTAAGATGTAATTTCGTACATCAGCATGAAATTTATTTGAAGTGAAGTATATTATTCATAACTAATCCATAAATTTTGTACTTTTTTATTTTTATTATTTCTTAATTCAGTCATATATATAGATTTTTTCTCATTAATTTTAAAAGAGTTATAATTATAATTGTCTAGTAATTTCACCATTCTTTTTTAAACCACAATTATCACAATATCTTCCATTTTCAAATAATATATTATTATCCTGAAAAATTTAAAATCGTGATAAGATATCATTTTAATAACATTTCAATGAACAGTATATTTTTTCCCCTTAATTTGGTTACTCGTTTTATTTGAAAGAAAATTAAACCTATATGTCTCAATTTTTATTGTCCTTTTTCTTTTTAAAATTCGGCAATCAATTAATTTTAATTATGCTCTTAATATTTATCCTGTTGCAAGATCTCCTGTCTATACTCAAACTTATCTGTAAGTAAACCTTTTTTCAGAAATGAAAAAAATCTGAATCTGTGAGTACTAACTTTTAACCCGACGTTGCATGTGATCAAATAGTACACGCCAATTTTAATTTTATCTATATTTAATAAATGTCATCTTCGATTATATGCCAAAAAAAGTCATTTTCGACTGAAAAGAAAAAAATCATTTATGTAGAAAATGAAATATATGACGAGAGCAATAAAGAACAATCATAAATCCTTTTAATGTTTGCTGGACCTATAAACCAATGATGTCAAATGCCCTCTCTGTTTTTTTTTTTTTTTAATGTCCTCCGTTCAAAAGAAAATTGTACGTTTGAACTCAATTTGAGAGCATAATATTAAAATAAACCAAACAAGAGCAACAACATTGTTATTGATAATTATTTTGCGGTTTTATCTTAGAAAATCATGTCGGTTTTTGAACTTGTGCAAGTTACAAACTCAGTCAAAATCATCACTTCACCCATCAATTTTGCAGATTTTGCAGTTTTAATTTACAACGTCTTTTTAACTGGCTCTCTAAACATACTAATTTTTTGAATTTAATTATGATAATAACTTTCTATATGAATTTCATTTGAATATGATAAACTATGACGTTTGATGGATTTAATTTCAGTTATTTTAATTTAAAATATATTTAAATAAAATTTTTCTTTTTTATGTCAATTATTTAATTATATGCTTGTAATAGTTATTTATTGAGAAAAGTAAACTCTTACAAGTTTAGGATTTGAATTTATATCCTTGCAAAAAACGAAAAAAAAAAAAGGCGCGGACTAATGCGGTTTTGACTGCTACAGATTAATTTTTAGTAATACTCGTTACTTTTAATGTATTTCACCGAAACTAAAATTTTTTATATATATAACTTAGAGTATTTTTAAGTTAATTTGGGTTTAAAACTAATCTTTATCGGATCAGGAATGTTAAGATTAAAACTTTTCTAATAAGTGTACTTTTTAAAATTTAAACTTGCATTCTTTTCCTCACGAGAATGAAATTTAAAGTTGTATTCTTTTCTTAAACTATTTACATTCTCAACCAACAATTGTGCCCATTAACTTTGTTTTAAAAGTTTAACAACATAACCTTTTAACTTTGTATCTATTTAAAATACACTATACTCTATGAAAATAAAGCCTAGAAAGTAATAAATAAAAGATAAAATTATACAGTTATATAAAAAAAAATTAATAATATGATTTATAAATAAGATAAAATATTTTTTTTATCTCTCTGTTATAAGTAAGAGCAAGAAAGTATATTAATAACAAAGAGATAAACAGAAGGTTTACAACCGACAAAGCAAGCACACCAACCCCGGAAATGACCTAACATTGACATTATTGATTAGGGATTTAGAATCCTTTAATATTATAAAATCACCGTAAGAGTTAAAGAGAAAAAGTAGGTTTAATATTTTAATCAAACATTGTTTTTTGGTTCAAACAACCGTATAATCCCCGCAATTGGAGAGAGATAGGTACAATGGTATATCAGTGTTTGGACCCCACTAATTAAGTAGGACCCACCATCATGTCTATCTCCTTTTTGACTTGGGAAAAATTAAACATGTAAGTTAAAATAATTTCACCTTCTTTTTAATTAAGATTTTGCAATTTTATTTTATTTAATTTGGGCCTTTTAATTTTTCAATTATAGGCACTCGTATTAATTATGCCACATGTTACAAATAAAATCAAAATCACTCAGCTTATAAGTTACATTTATATGTACGAAAATGTTTATGAGCATAATAATTTTTATTTTTTATGATGATAATAAATAAATTTATTTCACATTTTTTTATTTTTTTTATTACCCTGATTAATAGATTATGAGTGTTAAAGCTAATTTCTATGTCCACGATTGAGAAAAGTTTGACAAAACTACAATATAATGACACAATAATTGAGAAAAAGAGCCAGAAAAAGATGATTAACAATCAAATAAAATTGTAAGGACAAGCAAATCAAATCTTATTATCTCTCTCTTCAAGTTCAGAGAATCTTACAATAAATTAAAAACCCTAATAATCATCCTTACACACCTTACTTAATTAATCAATAATACATCATATTATTATTTCCACCGGCAGCCATGATAGGTTGGTTCCAATTGTTGAAGAGGCCACAATCAGAGATCATCTCAGTCTCATCATCATTATTGAACACATAACTGCTTGATGAGTTTATATAACTTATGATCTCATTAAGAGATTCCAATCTGTTTGTTAACTCAGCCATTTGGGTCCTCAAGATTGCATTCTCTGCTTCCATGTTCATATGAAGTTGGCTGGTTAAGCTCAAGTTCTTCATAATCTCTTCATTCTCCTTCCTCAGCTCACCAACCTGCCTCACCAGATCGTCCAGATGCTGCTGTTTCTTCATCCTCGATCGCCGCGCCGACTCGCGGTTCGATATCATTCTCTTCCTCTTCTTCTGGTCCATCACATCTTCTTGATGATGATGATCAGATGAAGTTGCAGAAGAAGCACCACCACCAGGAGAAGAAGCCATTGATGATTATGATTATGTCCGTGCAATAACTAGGGTTTCGATGAACTTGAATGATGCAGATCTATAACAGAGAGAGACAGAAAGAGATACAATATATATATATATAAGTCCTACAAAAATCAATTACTGGGTTGATGGATTGCCTTCAGATGATGAAAGTAAAGGGAGGGAGAAATTAAGAAGATGGGGGATTTTGCAGAAGATTATCGTGAGAAAACGTAGAACCAGTAGAGGAAAACAACGGAGAAAAAGATTGAACCAAGTGGATCCTGCGAGAGAGAGAGGAGTTTATCATGAGGATTTCGCAGATTACTGCAGACATATTGACAAGCTTGAATCGATTGTCTCAAGCATCAATAACCGTAACTGCATAATCAAGATCAAGAAGAAGGATTATATTATTGAAGGTAATAAGGCCTGGAGAAGAAGAAGAAGAAGAAGATGGAAGAAGATGAAGAACCGAAGGAGTTTATAACAGGGAAGAGATTCTTAGAGAGAAGATAGAATTAGAAGAGACTATGGGCTGAGAAATAGGGTAAAGAGAAGGAAGAAGATAGAGATGGATTGACCAGAAATCTGAGAGATAGAGATGAGAAAGAAAGGAAAGAGGTTTTGATGGGAATGGAGGGTGGGATTTATAGAAAAAGAATCGCCCATTGGAATGGAAAAGTAATAATAATAATAATGAAGAATTAAATTTTTAAAGTTAAAGATAAATTCAATTAATTGATAAATTAATGAAAGAGGGGAAATGGAGGAAGGAACACGGAAAGAGCCCCACACCGGCGGACAGATCAATGACAGAGGCTGTTTCCTGTGCATGTGCACGCGCATGTTACTTTCATGTTAAAAAATTCACGAATGACAACTCATTGCCTTTGGATTCTTTCGCATTTGGAATGAGTTAATATTACTACTACTTTGTTAAAGCATACAAAAACATTAACTTTGTCTAAGTACATTGTACGACTTTTTTGACAAATAAATTACAACTCGTCCGTGGGAAATAAATAATTAAAGTATAAAGATTATAAGAATTAGTTAAGCTACTTATTAAAAAAATATGAGTTCTATTTTTTAAAAAAATATCTACTTAATTATTTGTTCCAAACTACCTCTTAATGAAACTTTTTTTAATATGCTCAATCAATGAGGATAGTCTAAAAATATATATAATTTAAAAGACAAAATAAATTAAAATATTATATTTAGGATTATAATAAATTTTCCAACTAGCTCATATCCCAAGGAGTGGAAAAAAACATTTTTAAGTGATTTAGTATATTAAGTGAAACTTTGTGATTTTTTTTTTTTGGTGTTGTTACATTAAGAATATTTGGATCGTGAATTGCATATAACATCTCACATCAACTTGATCACCAGAAGTAGCTAATCATAGACAATAAAATATCTTGATTGGAATTTAAAATTTTATATTAATATTGACATTAAAAAATATAATTAAATAATTCAATTCAATAACCGAAAAATGAAAGAAAGAAACAAAAGGCACAATTCATACCGATTTTTCTTTATGCTAAGCATAGGTATTCTCCTCAAGCTTTAGTTTACTATATTGTAAGGGACTAGCCCGTTCTGTTAAATCTAATCCAGTTGGTGGCTCTTATTTTAATACCATTTTTTTTTGTCTTCAATAGAATGATCGATTGATTAGAGAGAAAAGAAATATTCATGCGTAACATGATAGGTATGATTGCTTATGGTTGGTGGTCTATCAATTTTCTGTCTTTAAGCAAAATGTTCGTTTTCCATCAATTATGTGAAAGATGAACGGTCCGGATTAAGCAGAAGAAATTTAATATTATTTAAATAATGTTAAGAATTTAAACTTCATTACTCTAAATTGTTGCACCCAACAACAAAAAATCATACTCCTCCGGTCCTAATTATAAGACCCAATTGACTTATTTGAGGAGATTAAGGAAGTAAGTTAAGTTGGTTATTTATAATAAATAAGTGTTGTCATTCCTAAAATATCCTTGCTAATTAAGTATATTGGCTAAAACTATCATTATTAGAAGGATTATCTTGGAAAAAAATACATAAATATAAGAGACAAAATGGATTGGGGTCTTATAATTAGGACCAAATAAAAAGTCAAATGGGGTCTTATAATAAGGACCGGAGGAGTACTATGAACAACACACCGTGAATGATTCTCATTGAGGAGATGTTGTTATAAATTCTCAAAAAAAAAAAATTGACATATTGATCAAATAATTCAATAATCGGATAAATTCAGAAAGAAAAACCAAGTGAATAAAGACCCTTTAAAATATATATATTAGCAATAAATGAAATTTCGTGAACATATTTATATTCTTTTTTCTTTTATTTGAGACTTATGAATAATTTTTTTCTTATATTTTTTGTTGTCTTTCTTCAATAAAATTTAAAACCAGTTTACCTAATGTGATAGGTAAGTTTGCTATGGCTAGTGGGTTTTCCCCCAAATAAATTGTAATTCATTGAGAAGGAGACTCAAATTGCGCAATTTGATAGATTTTTTTCCCCCAAAAAATAAGCAATTTGATAGCCATGTTTGCAACTTCGCATAGAAATTTTGGTTTTTGTCTAAAATATTTGATAGACTAGGATATTCGTTTTAAATGATTTTTTTACCAGATATTCGTTTTAAATGATTACATCATTTTAAATTATTTATCTTAATACTACGTTCAGTCTCTTAACATAAGATTCACTTTACACTTTAATTTTTTTTACTAAAAAGTGAATCGTATATTAAGAACCGGATGTAGTATTATATTTTTGTTCTTTTCTTAATTTGTTTATTAAACTGATTTTACTATAACTAATTAAGCAAGCATAGTTTAACATAGTCCATTAGGAGATACAATCAAGTTTTCATGTTTCATGTATTCTATTTTAAACAATTAATCCTAATTTTTTCAAAATTTTCTTCGTCAAATTAATTTTAATTTAAATAATTTTTTCCCCAAGACCTAATTAACAATTTGAATCCATATAAGTTTCTTATATGTTTTATTTTTAGAAAATGGATAAGTAAAATAAGTCTTGGAACTTAAATAGTATATCTACTCAAATAGGTGAGTCCAATTAAATGATTCACTCATATATTATGTCTAATCTTTACGAGTTTTTTTTTTTCCAACTTTCTTCAAGAGAATTGGTTTCCTTTAGCAGATTAACAATCGTATAATTATTTTTTCAGGCCTATCATTCTGCTGACTTATTTAATTTAAAGAAAAGGACTCAATCAATTAAAACAAGGGTAAATTATTCAAAGAAGAAATATCAGAGGGAATATTAATAAGTTTATCATTTTAAATAACAAAATTGAAAATAGAGTCATCATTGGCAAAGAACAGTAGATCTGGAAAGAGAGAGAGAGAGAAGATATCAAAAGAAAAAAATAAATTTTTTATTATTAATTTATTATTCTAAGAATTTTTTTCTTCGAGTATTCTTTTTGCCCATTTTTCCCATGTGAACGAAGAGCAGGAGTCATTATTCCTTTTCCAATTTAATTGAAACATAAATAAGCCTTTCTTTTGTGCATCTAGAATTCTCTAGGTTCCTTAGGGCATGACTCCTAGAAATATAGGAATTATTTCATGTTGGTTGGCAAAAAAAGAAAGAAAGAAATATGGCACTATAACATAACAACAAGAATGGTTAACAAATTTAATACATTCTCATGTACAAGATCCTCAAAAGTGTAAAAGATGCTAGTATTAATTTGTGGCATCACAAGACAAGTAAAGGAAGATTTCTAAAGATAACAAATTTTGTCTCCCCATTCATGAAAGGCATATTTCTTTTAATTGGTATTTATATTAACAATTTTAGGTAAATTAAGAAAGATAATTAAAATCAGTTACTTCTTTTAACAAAATTTTAAAATTATGCTCAATACAGGTTACTCTTGTTGTCCCTTTTTATAATATGTTTTCAATCATTTTACACATACTAATAAAAGATAGATTGTTATTCATTTGTTAAGGTATAAAAGTAGGCCAGTTTTTTTTTTAATTTTTTCCCTAATCTATTAATAAATACATATTTTCATCTCTCAAGAAGTTAGACATAAAATGGTCTGATTATGAAAAAAAAATTGATGCAACCCCCTATATTTTGAGCTAAAAAGAGATTTAGAAAACTTCTTATAGATGGAGGAAGTGTTGGGTAGAAGAATTTATTTTATTAATTGGGAAATTTTATACTTCCCTAATCTTTTCCGGTCAGCCCATTAACATCTTTATGCTACATCCATCTTTAATGTAAAAAATTATTTAACATTCAATTTAGTTCTAAATATAAAACTGTAATATACTTTGTCTCTTGTATTTATCTATTTTTTTACAAGACAATCCTTATAAAAATTACAAATATTTAATGTTTTATTAAATAGTAGTTATCACTAATACATATGACTAACAAAGGTATTTTATAAAAAACAATACCTATTTATTATAATTGACTAATTTAACTAATTTTTTTAAACCACTCAAATTAGTTAACTAGCTCATATGTTAAGAACCAAAAATAGTATAAGAGAAGCTGGGAAAAGCCATTATACTAGTTCTCCAACTTATTTGCCCTCACAGCATCATTGTTCTGTTAAACACAAGCGACACTTCCATAAAACCCACACTATTTTTCAAGTTTTGCAAGAACCAAGTCCACTCTTCCAACTTCCGCCACTATGGCATAAAAAAACGGGGAATTATTAAATTTTAGGATGTTAATTACTACATGAATACTTTATGACTGGAATGCTTTTTCATTAAAAGTTGATCTAAAGTCAATGATTAGTATTAATGTTCATTAGCCAATATTTATAAAATAGTTCACATGCAAAGATGCCCTAAAACTCATTTCAAAAAATAAGGATACTTCCTTTCAAACCAATCATGGTTTCCCGTTCACTATTATCTCAGCCGACAAGCCTGCAGACTTAAATTTAATTATTCACTGGACCTTTACTCTGCGTTTATAGTTTGAAATTCTCAATTTTTGACCTTTTGACTGAAGTTGCAAATATGGCATGAACTTAACTTTCATTGTTGTTTCTTCTAGCACTTCAAATTAAATTATAATTAAGGGTAAAAATACAAGTTATGTTTTCTTGATTACGTCATTGGCAACAAAGTCTAAAGCTTAGCGTGCATTTTTGCCGATCTCATCAAATGTCAATTTTTGTTAAATTGTGAACTAGGGAGCAAAACATGCTTGGCTAAATAAAATAAAATAAATAGTAAAACCTTGATAGATCAACAGATTGAATATTTAATACAATACATTCCATTCCATGTCTGACATGAAGAAACAATAGGCCAAAACTGCCAGAATTGCCTCAAGACAATCCTGTATTCTCACCACCCATTTGGTAAAATGCAAAAACAAGGGGAAAAAGAACAAATATCCTCACACCACAAATGCCTAACACTTATCTTTCAAACTCAAATCTCACTATTGACAAATTACAATATACACATTTTTGCATAAAAGTTTCCCTTACCAATCACAATTATGACTCTGCATTCTCAAAACTGAAGCCAGGGGTGTGAAAAGAAACATGCAAGAATGAATGATGGAAACCATCTTATGGCAAAGAATGAGGAATAAATATTAAGAAGACCAAACCAATTCAATAGAGATTCGGTAAACTCCCAGTTGCTGACACATACTATGAAGAAAGGATGGATTGTAATGCAAGCTGTTGCTGTGGCTGCAAAGCTGAAAAGGTTGCGGCTAGAGCAGAGGGTAAAGTTTGCTGAAGCTGTTTGAGAAGATTTTTCATACGACCAGCAGTTTGTTCAGTCGCAAGATCTTTACCGGCACATAACACCTGTTATGTGCAAGAACAATTAATATTTTACCCAGAAGGGAAAAATAAAGAGAACAAAAATACTATAATGATCACATATCTTCTTCATTGTATACGATACAGTTCATATATGCTTCAAAGATTAATGCAAACCAAGTCCTGAATTGCATGTCACTATGCATCTGTTGCGTGCTGTCTACCAGTTTAAAGACAAATGAACATCCATCACCCACATGAAAATTTAAGATAAAAAAGATATAAGAAAAGTTTGAAAATACACTTCCATGAGGTTTTCGTTGGTCCGCCACATAAAAGTCAGGTTCAAAGTTCTTTCATTTCTTAAAAAGCACCATGTCCTTTAAAACATCTAAAATGTTTGGTATTAATATCAACTTAAATTATGAAATTCAATTTTAAGTATAACCAGTAAATTCAGGAGAAAGCAAGTAATTAACAAGTAACTATTTTTTGTGTCTATTACCAGGAGGTGCAATACATGCTAGCCTTAGGTTGAGATACAAAACTATCGCACAGCTACTGCATATCAAAATTTTGTCCGCTTTCTGTTTTAAGGAGGTTAACTAATTTTATCATTAAAGCCTTTCCACTCTTAATTTCAATAAAATTTCTAGTCCCAAATTCATGATGGCCACCTAACCTCAGCAAAAACAGCCAATCAAACTGACCAAACACATAAAAGCTAACCTCAACAAATACTGCAACAATTTTTGGAAGATATTGATTGTTTGGACCCAAAAGATCCCCATCAGATCTGTAAATAAAATGATAGAGCACAATAAGAAAATTGAGAAGATAAAAAGGTGTACTGTGTACGAGAAACAAGAAAGTTGAGTTTCTGACCTCTCAACCATTGAACAAAGCTGATCATGCACAACTTTGGCCTCAATTAAATCACCCTTTATTGGCAAACAGTTCAACCATGCAGGAACCACCTGCCAACAAGCTCATTTAGAAAAAAATATTCAGGAGTTGCCTAAAATAAAACTCTAAAAAAATCCCATTGACAGATTTTCTCATTAGATTAATACAATTAACAAGCACAAGCATAAACTGGGGTTATAGCCCAAAGACGTAACTACCTGGGCAGCGTCGATATTGTCACGATGAAATTGACAAATTTTTCCCAAGGCAGAAACAGCATTGTCGTATGCCATTACATTGTCCTGTTGCAAAGCATTAGGATGCTGAACCACAGCATTTAACCTTGAAAGAGCCTCTGCAATATGCCACTAACAAAACGTTACTCAAAATAACTTTTACCAATTGAATAACACTATCTCAGGAAGCACTACCTCCAACCAGAGGTTTAAACACAGATCCTCCAAACTCTGCACAGACACCAAGGCCATAGACAGCAGCCTACAAAAGGAAAGAGAAGACACAAAATCAGACAATTTAGGCAATAAATAGCAATACTAGAGACCTTGACTAATGGAGCATATCTAATGCTGACCTGTCTGACATCAGGATTGTCATCATTACAAGCCTCCAGCAAGAATGGAAGATACGTTTCATAATACCTGATCAGATGGCATTTCGAACAATCAAATTAATATGTTGCTTGCGAATTATCACAGCCCATTGAAAGGAAATCGGTCAAGGGAAAAAAGAACTTGCTTTAGAGCTGCTTCACGACACTGTTCTGCCACATCATCAAAGATGCAAATCGCAATCCTCCTCTCTTCTGGTGTTTTATCCCTTCCCTATCACAAACATAAAACAAAAATATTTCAACATATCAAAATAAATTAGCAGAGGGTACAGGGAAAAAAAAGTAGTTACGAGTAGTGCAATAAAAAAAACAAAATAGGTAGAAATCCACATGACAAAGGAATCTACGAGAAGTCCAATCTGTTGCCAAATGAATGCAAGAAATTCTAAATTCAACTATTTTTCACGAACAAATGAAAAATTAATTCAACAAAGAAACATTTGCAGGGCAATAGATGCTAGATAATGAATTTGAATATGTACCGTACTCTCTCAGATAATATATGTGCAGACAAGATTTTTAAGGGAAAAAAATGTTCTTCACTTTAAATTATGAGATAGTTGATGAAATGCAGTGCACCATAGCAAAAGGGCTCCTGAAGCTATGGCAAGCAGCACTGTGCTGCCGGTTGCAAAAGTGTAATGCCCATATTTTATTTTCCAAAATAACAGTACCATGAAAATAAAATAACCAACACGAATGAAACTTTAACTACAAGTTAACTACCATAGATGCACAAACATATAAACCAATTAGCCAGAGAGAAGGCAATAAACAGTTAAAAACAACAACATATGAGAGATGGAGACCCATGATGTAACAACCAGTAGAATCATGACTGCAATTTGCAATTGGGTTTTGTTTTTCTTATTACATGGACATGTAGAAGGAACCCATTTTGTAACTCCTTGATGAACAACGAATTATTTCCATTTATCTCTGTGATTATTTGTTAACAAATTTTGTACGTAATTCAAGCAATCAAGACAAAGAACAGAGAAAAAGATCATAAACCATCCAGATTGTCAGCTCCAAGACGAACCAAGATAAAGTTTCTTTCATATCCAAAGACTGATAACTAGACGGACTCATAATATCTAATCACATAAACAACAGGCCTGCACATCCCCAACAGCCAGTCTCCAACAGACTACAAGTTTAAAGGGCAAACATTGTATCTTCCCAACATAAAATGCACAAGACAGACAAGGAACACTGGATAAGGACGAAAGGCCAAGTGTCAGATATGCACTAAATATGGTTGGTAACTTCCAGAAAAAACATACCCACATAGGTGTCAGATATGACGACAATTCATCAAAGAACGGCAAGAAGGAAGCTTTGAAGGTTTTGATCAAAGTTCCCAATATCTCGCCCACCTGGGAAAATACACAAATTACATTACAAGGATGGCCGGCAAAACTGATGATTAGTCTTGAGCACATTAATAGCGGATCAGTGATTATGATAAACCTATATATTTTAATTGACATCAAAAGACTAACTTGGTCAAAAACTTCTTCCTCTTGCTCATTTTCTTCTTTAATCAGTTCCCCCTCTTCAGCATCAAAATCTTCAGCTTTAGTCCTCTCTGCTCTCTCTCTCTTTCTGCTTGAACTTGCTGTAATCACCTGTTTTATCTCATCAACGACGGATTTGACCTGGCTTTCATTCAAAAGCATCCCAGAGATCTACAAAGGAAACAAAAGATTAGAAAACACCCCAAATGGAGTTTTACTGAATGCAGTAAGAATAGGCAAGATGGATGACAGAAAAAGAGTAAATTATTACTAAAATGTCCAAGAACAATAACTAATTTGTCATACATCAGAAATCAGTGATGCATTCATAGTATTGTTGGGAAAACATCCACTTCAGAGATTGTCATAATTACAACTAAAGACATATACGAGGATCTTCTTAGACAGCCCTTATTTAGAATCCTTAGAAAATATCGCTAAAGTTGGCTGCTTTTTAAAAAATGCGAAAGAAAATCAGTTGCAAAGTTATGGCTTTAGCTGTTAAAGAGCACCAAAGCCAGAAGGCAAGCCCCACAATGCAGCCAAAATAAAGTAACAGCAATAACGGTAAGAAAATTGAAGTCAACAATAAAAGACAACCTACGATACAGGCATACTCAAAATTTTTGCAGGACATTCTATCATGTGTAAGAGAAAAATACCAAAATAAAACCCCAAAAAAAAAAAAAAACACTATCTAAAAGCAGCTAAACCATGTTGAAATATGCAACTCTATTAAGATTTATGGCAGATGGCTGGAATTAGTCCTTTCCATTTAGTGTGTATATCTTTGGGATCAGCAATTATCTCTGAATCCTTAAAAATCTGCAGGTACAGAAGCTGTTAATACTTCCCTTGATTGTAGTTAACAAGATCTTGGGCCCCTTCCATGGCATGATTCCCAAGGCTGGAAGCGGCACCACTCTCTGAATAGTGCAGCTTCCAGAGGTCTATATATATTGATTTTATACATATATGGACGATTAATACAGATGTCATGGCAATTTATTCTCTTGTACTACATACAAGGATGAATTGGCCACCAGAATGGTGAAAATGACCCTATCGATACAGATTACAACATACTGCTTTCTAGAAATCAAAGCATGTGAAACTGTAGTAAGCATTAATAATATCTCATAAATCAAGCTGTTTTCCTTTGTTCATATGAGTCCATTGATTATAGAATCCTTCCACAGCTAACATCACTCACAGCTCTTTCTTTTAGAAGGGCGGCTCCACATTGATGTCATTCAATAAAATCAAATTTGTCCACAAGCAATATATCAAATTCTCTTGCAAGCCAATTGCAGAATAGGAAGTAAATATCTAGTTCTCTTATATGCCCATGGACTAGGGAATCTTCCACAGCCAGTACCAATTCTCCATTAACTAACATCACCAACGTTTTTTGTTGACTGTCCTCATCAATTAACAATGATAACAAAATTCTACACCATATATTCAATGGTCCTAAACTCCTAATTTCATAAAATGTAAAATTAAGATACACAAACAAAAGATATGCTTAAGATACACCATTGTGTGATTGGATGACAAAACCAACCTGTAAGCACTCATTTAATGAGTCCAACATACTCGCACAAATCTCCGTATCTGGTTCCTGCAGGAAATTTGAAATGCAAGAACTTCAGCTCTTGAACTATCAATGTGGACACTGGTTAGACAAGCAAAGTCCACCCGCATATTATTAAGATTGCTTAGTTATATCATCAAATCATTGCCTGAGCCCACTTTTAGTTTAGGGGCCGCAAAAATAACAAAGAATGTAGGTCGCAGACACTAAAAGCTGCTTCTGCTCAAATTAATACAAAGATCATACAATTCAGATAAGTTTCAAAACACCAGATATATTTTTTCACCCAAGTTTCTCTCTCCATTTGGAAAAAGAAAGAAATAGGAAAACACCTAAAACATCAGGAAGCTCAAGATTAGATCCAATGAAATGACAATAAGAACTTCAGAACCCAGGCTAATTCCTTCAAATAATAGTATATTTATTCAGCAACAACCTCAGCATAAACTTCAAATTAGTAAAACCAAGATTGGATATAATTACCTTATGCAATGCTTCCACCAGAGCTGGGATAATACTGTCTGTCAAAAACTTCAAATAAGATGCATCCCGACCTTGAGATTGTCCTTTCTCTATGGCTAACTTTGCAGAACGCAGTAGCTCGGGCATTGCTAAAAATGTGTATAGGAAATGTCAAATATCAGGACACACAAGGAAACGATTCAAATGACAGAATTATTATTGCCCAAGAAAAAGTATCCATTGGCAACAAACTGCATGCAAATAATTTAATACCTGAAACAGCTGCTTTTCTAACCTCCTCATGGAAGTAAAATTTTAGAAGCGGAACTAAAGTTCCTGCAACCTACATGCACATAAATCATCAAGAAAAAGCAAATAATCAGTAAACCTTTAGCAAACCCGAGCATAAGAAGGGATATATAGCCCCCAGAATCTGACCTGATCAATCCATGGAAAGAATCCTTCCTTCAGCTCATCAGCATAGCAACACAGCATGTTACAAGCTGTAGCTTTCTCCTCCAGGACACTAGTTTTGATTCCAATTCTTTTGTCACCAAGGGTGATGGTCTCCATACTGAAATATATAAAATAAAACTTAGATGGGAGGTGAAACTGTATTGATTTGTGCTGCCAATTTCAGACAAATAACCATGAAGTAAAATCAACTAAACTAAAATATTTGCTTTTTCTATCAAGGGCAGAAAGTAACTGTACTGTGGGAATCTGTTTAAATTCAAGTTTATACATATGATCCTAATAGAATATAAAATAAAAAAACGAGTCATATCAGTAAATCAATAAAGCAGCAAGCATCAAAAGAGCCCTAAGGCCCATTCAAAAAAAAAAAAATCACGGCAAAATAAGAAAAGCAGTGCAATTAATACATTATGACCTGCAACTGACAATATTATTAAAATTAAATGAAGAAAAATGACAAAAACTGAAACCTTTCATCATCAGAATCATCAATATCATTGTCTGAGTCTGCTGATGTAATGGTTACATCAGGCTTAAGTGAAGCAGACTGAAGTAATGGGGGCATGACAAACTGCATATAAGGTAGGAAATCTTGTCCCAGACACTTGCAGAGTCTAGCCCATGCCTGCAACAAATTAAGTGATTGTAACTGAGTAGAGTCTCATAGGCATTATCTATACAACACATTAATTTAATATCAAAATACATACCTGAAGCATGTAACTTGTTGTAGGATCATCAGTCTCCATTTGAGATACTTGCAAAGACATAAGCACCTCCATAACCTAAAAGAAACATGGTTTACAAATTCATACAAAGTGAAATTCAAGTATCCCAGCAAGAAGCTATGTACATAGCAGATAATATTCCATTCCATAAGAACAAATAACCTTCTAGCTTTCCAGTTTAAACATTTTTTTTTCTGAATAATGTTAAGCATATAAGTTGCATTGAAGGTAGGTAAACACCAGAAAGAATGTTGTTTAGCTGCAAAGTTACAGCATATGAATTTCAAAGACTTCTACAGTGAATTAGCGGGGGAAAAAAGAGAGAGAGAAACATAAAGGAGTACCTGCTTAGCATCATCCCTAAACTTTTCCTTCCCAACAGCCATTCCAACCAGACTTATACACTCCATAGACTTGGCACGAAGCATACGATTAGACTTGTCAGTTGCATTAACCAATATAGCCTTCAGGTATGGCATGACGGCATCATAGTACTTCTGGAAGTGCTCCTAATTACATGATGGTTTCAATCTCATTACGATTCACGGCAAGAAATCAAAACTGTTGGATCAAACAGGTTATACAAAGATACCTGGGATGAATCTGCCACTGATGCCAAAGCAGTCAAGGCACCCTCTTGCACCATTTGCTTTCCATTCTGCCAAACATTTTGAAAATAATTAAGGGAAGGAAAAGGATAATCACATGAAGATTCAGAAAAACGATCACATGAGCGTTCCTTAGAACAATTTTTCCGTTATAATACCTGAAGAAGAACCAGTAGTTTGCTAACTATTCCATCCAAGTAAGGCGTTAAAATGTCAGAAGTACAGTTCTCACTGAAATTGAGCACTGCTGAAGCAGCATGAGCCTGCGCAGACAATAGCAAGATAAATTCATACCTATAATGCATAGACACTTTATAAATAGAGCTCCATGTCCGTGTCCAACATATACAGGTTATTCATTTTAGACACAACATTATGTGACAATTCAAATTTTGTTATGTCATGGTGTCTGTTCTGTATCCTGTCTCACGTCCATGTCAGTGCCTTTGCTTCCAAGCATAATAGGACATGATAAATCAGTTGGACCATGAGAAGAAAAACCCTACGACCCATGAACAGAGGAATCCTATGAGTTCTACTGAGTGAAAGAACATGGGCTTCAACACATGATATAACACAGATCTAAAAGCAAAACAATGTAGATGTTCAATCTGCCAATCTTTTCCCCCTCCACATACCCAAGAACAAAATAACACCGCAAGAGCCTATTAAAGCTCAATATAAACAGGTAATTCAAACTAAAGTAGCTTACTTCTTCCCAAATACGATTCCTATGAAGCAGGTAATTAAATTAACCAATCATATAGTCTCTGATACGTTATAGCTTACACTCTTTTACCTGTTATTGCTAAATTAACCAATTAACCATCAAGTGGATTCAAAACTTAATTTTAATCAGATAACCTAAACATCAAAAAACAAACACCTCCATTGCTCATTATCGTGTCAACTATATCTTGAAAATCTTCACAGCGTCCTGAGACCCTTGATGAGATTATATATGCAGTTTCAATTTTAAAACACAATATTAATCCCGAGAATAAACATTAAATACAATAAAGATGTTCAAAAGTACCTTTGCAACATACTTTTGACCAATAGGCATTGACTTAGTAACATCAAAGTCTTATTTAGGGCTGACTGATCCAAGTTTGAATCCCAGCCATAGTCAAAATTAACTAGGAAAAAAGTAAAACATACTTTCAACAAAGGAAGTTAACCATCATTTTGACATTTAACTGACCTTATAAGGTAAAATGAAGACCACAACACACATTGAACAACAAGAAGGCACCCTGATTACAATTCAAACAAATCAAGCATCCTAATTCAAGAACTGATTCATTACTTTAAATTTTAATGCCCAGAATATCCAATTATTTCGTAATTTTAAAGCTATCATTGCTTACACCTTAATATAGATAAAACCCAATGCTCATTTGCAAAATAACACTATTCTTGAATAATCAAATACTTCAAAGGCAGCAGCTAACCTGTACACGAGGATTATGAAAATCATCCATAGCAGCAGCTAGTGCTGGCAACACCCGTTGATGGTATTGGGTTTGTAAATCTGGACCTAAATCAGTAGACAATTGCCCAATTGCATTAATAGCAGCCCACCTCACACGGGGGTGTTGATCTTGGAAGGAATTCAATACCATTGCCACCACTTGCTCCAGATTTTTAGTCATAACCTGAAGTAATTGGAAGGTTGGGGAATGCCATAAGGAAAAATATAAAAGAACTTTTGCAATCTTAAATAATTACTGGGCGAAAAAAACTCTCTTCAGCTCCTTAGAACATAGAAAGGAGATAGTTCACCAAATTTTTACACCAGGCAAAGTTCAATTTTAAGGAACAACGTAACGGATAAAATCCAAAAGGATAGGAACAATAAGTGAACTGAATAGAAGTTGCAGTTGCAACAGACTGCGAGTAAAGGAGAAATATCTATAGTAGCCAAACAAGATAGCAAACATGTAAAACAACCTATAGCGTAAGGAATGCAGGCATTTTCCCTACCTTTACACAACCCTCCGCTATTTGAGCCAGCGCAATCAATGCAGCATGACGTTTTTGCCACTCGGCAGCAGCCAAGTAAGCAGGCAATTGTTCAGAGGCAACAGGAACGATGGTATTGCCACCCAATGATATAGACAGCCTATCCAAGCACTCTTGGCCTACACTGTAATTGCTTGTTTCACCAGCATCCTCATCTTCAGTTTCTGCAGTATGCCACGCCGGATCATCCTCAATATCCAAGAGCATCTTCATCAATATAGCAAACAATCTGCTAATGAACTGTGGCAACTTCCTCATCATCCCCGGCGCTCGCTCCCTGGCTTCTGCAAGTGTGATCACGAACTCAACAGCTAAATGCCTCGTCCCTTCTTCCAATGATTCTGCCTCTGCTATCTGCAACATTGCCCCGACTACATCGACCAACTGCCTCCTCAAGAATCTGGGCTCTGTTCCAGCCAATTCGATCAGTAATTCAAGTGCCTCCTGGGCCGTAGCTTCCTGCCCGCTATTCAACGCTTCGGTCAAAGTGCGCATCATTGCAGGTAATAAATCCTGAAACCTATCACGATCAGTAGAACTCGACAGACACTGGATAAAATTGATCACCGCATTCAATGCAGCAATCCTGACGTCAGAATTGGCCGTCGCTGATGTCAAACACTGCAAGAACACAGCATGTAGATGCTTGATGTGAGGAGTAAGGGAATCACCGATGTACTGGGACAACTGGGCAAAGATCAAAAACGCAGATTCCTGCAGTCTGGGCGAGTCCGATGATACACACTGAAACATAAACGGCAATAATTCGGGCCAACCATTATCGGGAAGAATCCCAGAAGCAAGCTCGGAAATTGTATCGCATAATTTCTTGGAAATAGATTTAGGCTGGTCAATTTGAATACAGGCAAGAAGAATAGATTTAAGCGATGATTGAGTCGAAGGAGTAAGACGAGGCCATAAATAAGTATCATCGCGAGTAAGCTGCTTTCGGAGGAGAATTGCAGACATGGCACGAGCCTCAAGGATTTGGGAAAACTGAAGCAGATGGGCGAGTTTGAGGGAAAGAGCATCAGGATCGGTCTGCTTGCAGAGGTTGAAGAGAAGCTCAGCTTGAGAACGCTGTTCGTTGGAAGACGACATGAGGTGTGATATCAGGGTCTCGAAAGGACCAAGATCGGGACCAAGAATGGCGGCCACCTGAGCTTGCTGGAGCTGAGTTGACTCGGAATTCATGGCGGCTTACTCAGCAAGGGAGCGAGTTAGGGTTTGATGATGAAGACTCTTTCTCTCTCTATGTGCCCGCCTCCCTCTCTCTCGCTCTCTACAAGGAAGAGAAGTAAGGTTTTATAGTGATGCACAGAGGGAGTTACAGTGAGTGAGGAAGCGAGGGCGTGGGAGTGATGGGAGAGAGAAGGAAAAGAAAAGGTTACAGAGACGATAAAAAGGCAAAAGACAGAGGTGAGGTGGAAGGAGAGACTTATTTAGGGCAAAGCAAGTTGTAAATGTGAATGAATGTTTTAGGGCCAAAAGAAGCCTTTTTTCATGTGTTCATGCTCCATGGTGTATTAGCTGTTTCTTTTTTTTCTGTTTTCTATGTCATCATTCATGTTTGTTACTCCTTTTCTATTCTTTTTTTTTTTTTTAACCGCGTCTTAACATTATCGTAACAATAACATTACACACCGTGAATAAGGTTGACAAGTGAATTAGGACTTTTTCTAAAAAAGAATTATTAAAAATTGCTAAGAAAATATTTAGATAAAAACTAAACTATGGTTTTAAAAATAATTCTACAATATACGAAATAAGTATGTAAAAAAAATTTTTATCTCGACTTACGTAAAATTATTTTTAAAAAGTATTTTCAATAGAAACCAAATGCCTCATAAATCTTAAATAAGAAATTTATACGAAAATGTATGGTTATTTGTAAGTTTACAGTTGTAAAAATCTAATCAAACCTGAATTAGGATTTAATAATTTTAAAGTTCTTCTCATGAAATTTTTCCTTTTTAAAAAGTTTGGAATGTTTTTTTTAATGCAAAATGAATAATTTAGAAAGATTATTATTTGACCATTAAAAATTCCAAAATCCCAAAACTGCTCAAAAGCCTAAAGACATGGGTGAGGAGAAATTATTTCCAAACATTAAGTTTTTATTTAGTTTAAGTATGTTTCTCTTTTCCAATCTCAGAAAGCAGGGAGGAAAGAAAATAGGAGGAAAGAAGATAGACAAAGAGAAAATTTGGGGGGGGGGGGGGGAGGTTTATTATTACTGCTCTAAATTGGGAGGAAGGAAAGTGCAAAATATGTGAATGATTAAAATACCCTTATTCTTACATTAAAATATATCGTGTTTAAAATTGAATTAAACATCAAAATGAAACAATCATATTAACATTTACCCCGTCACATGATTTAAAACCAAAATTTTTGATAAAAATATTCTTTCATGTTATTATATTTTAAAATCAAATATTTTAGTAAAACAGGTTATCTTTTAAGGAATAAAACAAAAGGTGCAGAATTTTTTAAATTAAATATAATTAAATATGCTATTTAATAATTTTTTAAAATTTATACACGTATAAGCGAATTTATCTTAAAGTTAAAATTGTTAACTAAATGAATTTATATTTATCTTAATATATACTCTTCCGGTCCTTAATATAGGACCCAATTGTTGAGTTGGGTTTGATCTTAAATATAAGACCTATTTCTCACATTTATCAGTTTTCTCTAAGTTACCTCTATGATTACTCCTTTAATCATAATCAAGTAGAAGAGGAAGAGGGAGTATTAAGAAAGATGATTATGGTATTTTAAGAAAAACATGCCATATTTCTTATAATTAACTAACTTACCTAACTTCTTTAATGTAATCAAATTAGTTAAATGGGTCTTATATTAAGGATCGGAAGAGTATTATAATTAAAAGAGTGATACCGGTAGATATTTCATTAAATACATTTTACATAACACCTAAAAGACATGAAAATATACCCCACCTTTTATCTAATATACTTGTTAATATCTAATACCACTCTGATCCTTTTTATTTATTACTTGTGCCTTTTTTGATGTTTCATTTCTAATTCTACTCCTATTAATTAAAGGAGACAAAATATGTTTATAGTTCTTTTTTATTAATGTAAGGGGTATTGTTGTCTTTTACTAATTTCAGACTAATCATAAAAAAATTTAATACAAACATTCCATCTAAACATTGGCCCCTACCAAATTTACTTTTAAAACCTTATTCTCACTCCCAATTCTCAATTCCACTCTGAGTCTCCATCCGTCAAAATTGGTTATTTTACACCAAACAGGGCCAAAGAAGAAGATGGGTATTTGTGCAGGTGCAAGACCAAACATGACAAATGAGTTTTGTCCAAATCTCTCGAAAATTTGGAGAGAACCTACCTTTCTCTCTTCTTTGCAAAACACATTGAGATTTTACATTTAAAACTGAAATAAACATATCAACCCAAAGAACACAAGCTCGCATTGGACACTGATAATTTTTTGGAACCCTCTTATAGAAACTCTTTGAGAACAGGAATAGATTTTTTTCTTTTTTGTAAATAATCCATATCGTATCTGAGAGAGACATTCTCATTAGTGTTTTGTTAACTAGTAAACATCACTAGAACTCATAGACTTTTGGTTCGTTTAGAATAGCTTATAAATAATTTATTTATTGTGATTTATAGAATACGAGATAAGTATATAATGAAAGTTTTATTTTAATTTATGTAAAACATGCTTATAAACATTTAAATTAGTTTATTTCATGCTGTGGTTTGGTTGGTAAAGCTTTGTATTTTTGTATGTACTACTACTACATCCTATTCTTAATATAAAAGATAAATAACTTATTTGAGCATATTTAGAAAATTTAGTTATTTGTAATAAATGAATGTTATTTTTTTTAAAATACTCTCATCAATAATATGCATTAAAACTATCTTTTGATGAAAATTTCTTAACATATACAATCACCATAGGATGACTTGGAGGCAAAATAGATAAATAATAGAGATAAAATGAATTGAGATTTTATATTTAGAACTAAATTGAATTCCAAACTAGCTCTTATATTAAGAATAATAAGTAGTATTAGCTCAAGCTGAAGTATAAATTTAGTCATTTAATTTTATATAATGTTTCAATTTGGTTTATTAACTTTAAAAAATATATTTTTAGTTATTTAACTCTAAAATCGTTGGGTTTAAATGATATTTTTTTTGTAACAATCATGATTGTTTTAAAAAATAAATTTAATAGGTTAGCAGTTGAAAATATTTTATCAATATTTAAGATTTCTATTTCATCATTTTTGTTAACAATTTTATGGTTAAGAAATTAGAAATATATTTTTTAAAGTTAATTGATCAAATTGAAACCATATATAAAATTAAGGGATTAAATATATATTTTAACTTGTTGGGTCAATACACACCATTCCATTTGAAGAAGAAGAAGAAGAAGAATAGTCCCCACTTCCAATCGAATTATTATAGTTGTTAGGAGAGAAACTAGGATTATTATAAATACCAAGATAATGTTGGTGACAACTTGCAATAATCCCTAAAATAATAATGCAAAAGACATTTCAAGTTATTTTAATAGTTTAAGATAATGTTATGAATTCGGGCCAACAAAAAAAATTAATGTTATGAATACTAGATTTGGATTGGATTGGCTAGTTTGAAGTGAGTTGGCAAACTGGATCATATAATCTAGAAACATTAAAATAATTAAAAGATTAAAAATAAAAAAATAATTATAGAAGTAATTAAAATGAGTAGTTGTTCTAGAATTATCATACACACACATTATGATATGATATGATAACGTTTTAGGCTTTTAAGAGGTTTGATATATTCTCAAAATTACTATCCACATTTGATGTGAAATGGGGAACCGACACGGAGAAATGGAAGAGAGAAAGATTTAAGGGGAAGAGAGAAATTCAACAGAGAGACGGCTGAAATATTTGGAAATTTTATTCAATTAATAATAATAAAAGCCGAATATAAATGAGGAATTCTAGGGCTATTTATAGAGCTTTAAATAACAAAGTAATGAGATTAAATCTTAATCTATACCTATGTATAAAATTAATTAATTTATATATAAAGTCATTTTGGAGTTATTATAGATACACATCATAATTCAAAATTTTTGTCAGATTGTGTGCAATTCCTTTGGTAATAAAGGCGCCTCCCTTAGCCATTTTAATAATTTAAAAACATTATGAAAATTAGATTAGGTCCTTAGATTGGCCCCTCCAAATCCAAGGTAATTAGGTAAGTCAGATTCTCATCCAAAACATTATGTGAAAATTATTAAAATTGATGGAAACAAATAAGAATCGATAAAAGTCATTATGTATATAATACTTGGGAGAAATTAAGCTAAGCATTAAAATTTTGTTTAAAAAAGGATTTTTAACTTTCAACGTGATAAACTGTACCAATTAATTTATTAAATAAGTTTTTTTCAATGCATCTGCAATGTGTTTAGTGGAAATCTTTCTAATAATTTTCTCACGTTTAGTCTACCTAATACTACTTTTTTATAATTTTAAACAAACAGTCCATGATACTACCTTTGGTTTTTAATATAATAGCTATTTAATTAATTTGAGTAGATTTAAAAAAGTAATTAAGCTAAGTTAGTTATTTATAACAAATATGATTTAATTTTTTTAAAGTACCCTTTCTTAATCGTAATTATTCTTGGATGGAAACCCTATGACATAGGTAATTAATAGAAATACTTTAAAGAATGAATTATAAATTTGGAAAACAAAGTGAATTGATATTTTATATTTAACCAAATTTAATTTTTAATTACCTCTTATATTAAAAACTAAAAAATAGCATATGTGTAATTTTCCTACACTATGACAAGAGGTTAATTATTTTGAAGGTTTAAAACAATGTTATAAACACCATACTACCTCTAGTATTTAAAGAAATTAATAAATTAAATAAATTATTTTATTATCTATCTTTTTTCTCTAATTTAATTTTTTAAACATATAAACTGATATATATAATATACTGATATATATATAAGTATTTCAAAAAAATTATATACATATGTTATAATTAAATAATTTATTTATCTTTTTTAATCTCTTCAAATTAATTAATTGAGTTTTATATTATGAACAGGGTGTTGGAAGTGAAATTGTAGACTTAAGGTGAAATTGTAAACCTGATCTTAACATGAATAAGTTAGAGACTTTAATTTTAAATTTGATTTATCATTTTTTATTAATAAAATAATTATTAAAAATGAATTATACGTTTATATTTGCAATTGTTAAGATTAATTTAATTATATAATTATATGAAAATATAAAAATATGCAGAATTTAATCTATAAAAGTTTATAATTTGATTTAAAAATTTATCTATATAAATGTTAAAAAAATTAAAAAGTGATTGGTCAGTCAACATACTAACCTAACTAAGC